AGCTTTTATCAGGTACATCATACCTCCAACACTCATGAGATATGCTCTCCTGCTACCTAGACTAAGAAAGATGAGCTCCCACAGATCACTATGAACCAATGCATCCTCTGGTTCTCCTGTAGCTCTGTCATAACTGGGGCCAACGGGGTCAACAGTTCAGCTCCAGAGGAGCCGCCATCTGCTCCAAAATGTATTTGATCACACTGTTGGCATGATGCTTTTTGTATATTTTAGCATATTACTATTACTTATTTGGCATACTGGTAAAAAATGTATAGCCTGAATGCACTGTAAGTCGCTTTGGAGAAAAGCGTCTGCTAAATGCATAAATAAATAAAATAAATATTAAAAATAACTCTCAGTGACACTAGCATTTAAAAGTTTATGTTAAGAAAATAATGCTTTTATTGATCAAGGACACATTAAATTGATCAAAAGTGACAGTGAAGACATTTATAATGTAACAAAAGATTTATATTTAAAATAAATGCTGTTCTTTTGAACTTTCTGTTCATCTGTGAATCCTGAAAAATAAAATGTTTCACGGTTTCCACAAAAATATTGTGCAGCACGACTGTTTTCAACATTGATAATAATCAGAAATGTTTCTTGAGCAGCAAATCAGCATATTAGAGTGATTTCTGAAGATCATGTGACACTGAAGACTGGAGTAATGATGCTGAAAATACAGCTGCGCATCACAGAAATACATTACAGTTTAACAGATATTCACACAGAAAATAGTTATTTGAAATAGTAATAATATTTCACAATTTTTTCTATTTTATTTTACTTTTGATCAAATAAATGCAGCCTTGGCGAGCAGAAGAGACTTATTTTTAAAAACATAAAAAAATCACACGACCCCAAATCTTTAAACAGTGTATATGTATTATTTAATATAAAGATATAACCCGGTGACTAAAACCATTGCAAAAATTACAACAATTAGACAGAAAGCTAAACTTGACATCAATGACAGATTCATTTGCATTATTTGTGGTGCTTTGGAATACTTGATTCTGATTGGTCAATGTTATTGTTGTCCCGTGCAAAGGATTCCCTACATAGCTGTGCTAGTCTTTCTTCTAACATAATGAAATAGTTTACACTACAATATTTAATTTATATTAATTTATTTGATAAGCAGCTCTAAAATGCAGAATGGTTTGGAGTAATATATCATTATTTCAGTGTTAAAACAATGAAAGCCAATGAACAAACGTGTGTGTGTGTGTGTGTGTGTGTCAAGCGGGTTATTCAGGATGGAGGTTATCAAGTGTGTTGCATTTGTTCCCCGGTTCTGCCCACGAAGCCTGCATTTATTTGATTAATTATACAGTAAAATCAGCAAAAATGTTAAATATATTACAATTTAAAATAACTTATTCTTATGATACAAAGCTTAATTTTCATCAGATATTACTCCAGTCTTCAGTGTCTCATGATCCTTCAGAAATCATTCTAATGTGCTCATATATATATATATATGATCACATAAAATGCTGTTTTGCAGCAAGAAGTGAAATTTGTTTTAGTTTTTTTTTGCACTAAATAAAAATGTTTTCCTAAGTTTTACACCTAAAACCTTAAATCAAATGCGAAGTGCGATGAAGACTTATTAGTGCAAAGAAAAAGCTGCTGCAATCACATAATGACTAGTGAAATACTATTTTTATCTTATTGCAAGACACATTTGGTTGTAGAATAAATGAATCACGGGCGATCAACTGCATTTGCATGAGGCAACGCTGACTAATGACAAGAAAATACTTAAAAAACAACTGTTTGCGTCTTAATATCAACTTTCTCATGTTGCTGCTCTTATTATTCATGTTTCTCAGAGCTCCTGCTGTTTTCATGATGTTGGCATGTGCCAGACTGGTTGAGACATAAAGCCAGTGCAGTATCAAAGCGGTTTGGAGTGAATCCGGATCACTTCCTCTTTGGAAATCCCTTCAGGTGTCTGATGGCCCGGGATCAGATGGGTCGTGTTTTTCTCTCCTCGTTTACAGGCTGTGACTCTCGACATGCAGAGCGCAGGTGAAGTGTCTATTGATTAGTGGAGTTCCTGCATTAATGCGTGTTAGTGTCGCAGTCGATTGACTCGTTGTAAGAGTACAGTTCCTGTCCTCCCAAAGCTCAGGGTCATGTGTGCATGTGATCCATTAGCTAAACGAACAAGACAAGATCAGACATCCTCCAGTTCAATCTCAAAGCGCCATGACACAAGGAGAAAACTTTCCTTTAGAGGTGGGGAAATAAAATAAAAAAAACATGCCACTGCAACATAATTTCATATCTACATTATATCAGCCACCAGATCTCTGCTGGAATGATTCACTGAAAAACCTACTACTGCTTAACTACTTACAAGTGTGGCATATAATCTAAATGTCAGCACATGTGCTGTGTATCATTGACATCACCTCCACATAGGCCTTGAATCAATTGTAGTCACCATTTGTTTGCTATCGAACATAGTTTAAAGGGGTCATATGATGCGATTTCACTCTCTTTGGAGTGTTACAAGCTCTTGGTGCATAAAGAAGATCTGTAAAGTTGCAAAGACTAAAGTTTCAAATCCAAAGAGATATTCTTTATAAAACGAGTCATTTTATTAAGAGTCAGCCACACCTACCTAAAATGGTTCGTTCTAACACGCCCCCACATGTCTACGTCACGATCTGGGAAGATTTGCATAACGCCGCACAAATGTTCACGCAAAGAAAGAAGGCGTAACTTTTATTCTCGCTGTAGTATTGTTGCTGCCGCCGCCATGTTGTGAAGACGCTGTGTGTTTCGTTGTGAAAGCGAAACTACTTTGTTTGGTCTTCCAAAAGAGGACAGGACTAGAAATCAGTGGTTAAGTTGTATTTACAACACTGTTCCAGAACACTTCAACCCAAATATTCAGATGTGTGCAGCGCATTTTATGGAGGACTGTTTCCTGATCCTGGGAGAGTAGACTACAATGCCGGCTGTTCTGACTCACAGACTGTAAGTACGTTTTTTATATTTAAAGAATTTGCCACTGATGATTCAAACATGAGTTTTGAGCAGTGTAGAGTAGCACTTGTTGTTTGCCATTTCTCTGATCATAAATGCAGACACGGTTTTATGTTTACGCGGCGCGATGCAACGCAATGTGTAAAAAGACGTTATAAGTCATTATAATAAATAATTATGTCCCCACTGGATGCAACAAATGCCTCGTTTGTAATGGGTTTTCATGTTTTTGTCTCGCTCTGGGACATGGCATCACAGTATGGTGAGGGACGTAACATTTCCGTCACATGCTTGAGGTATTCGGCCAATCACAACACACTGGATAGCTGGCCAATCACAGCACACCTCGCTTTTCAGACCGATGAGCTTTGTAAAAATTGACGCGTTTCAGAAAGGCGGGGCATAGAGGAGAAACAATAATGTACAGTATGTGGAAAACAATGTGTTTTTTTAACCTTAAACCGCATAAACACATTTCATTACACCAAATACACAAAATAATGTTCTTTTTAGCAACGTCATATGATCCCTTTAATGTTTGATTACGTGTTTCCTGTTGGAGCAAAAGATGAAAAGATGAAACATAATCAAGGGCTTGAGGCCTATAGGCTTTAGTTTATGTAGCATGAGCCATGATTTGCTATTTGTTACTGTTAGTGGTATTTATAATGTTGGAGAGATACATTCTTAATCTAGATTATTTGATTGTACAAAAAAGTATAAGCCATATACACGATTATTCGGTCATTTTTAAATGTGCAACACTAAAGTTGTTTTTGTCACCTTTCAGGAGAACACAGACATATCTGTCTTATTTTGCATGATAATATTTACGCAAATGTGCGAGACTTCTGGTGTATTAGCCACTATAGGTAAATAAACAAAATAAACAAAGCACAGTAAAAGGTAAATTATTTGCAAACCAGTGTGTTTACGATTATGATAATTAATTAAATTAATATGTTAACAAATATCAGTTTGCAATATTAAGCATCAAACTGACTCTGGTAAAGGTAAAATAACTGGAAGCGAATGACGCACACAATTACGTCACAAAAGCTGTGACGTTAAAAATAAGGTGACTAAAAAGCTCTGCAGGCATGACTGAAAGACACTAAATTAAGAAAACAAAATTAAGAAAAGCCTCTTTTCTTCTTCTTTGATGTTTAACGGCAGTTGGCAGCCAACTTCAATGGTGCATTACCGCCACCTACTGTACTGGAGTGTGGACCGGCGCTAGACAAAAATAAACCATATCTAGAAGGAAGACTTTCCTTCTCCCTTCTTCCCACCCTCCCCTTTTATAATACTAATGATTTCCAAAACTGTAATCTACTGTATATCCTATTTGCTAAACCAGTGTCTTTAGGAAGCTAAATAAAATAAAGAAATGCGACACGCAGGCGTTCAAATAAAGACATAACGGTGCGTTTGTGGTTGATCTGGAGATCGAGATCCATCATGATGTTTCTGGAGAACGAGAATTGTTCAGTGCACCATTTAAAAAGAATGATTCTGCTGACGTTTAAGAGTTAGAATAGGATATTAATAATAATTTAAAAAAACATTCTAAAAATACTGATCTTTGGTTTATTGCACAAATTGGGGATAATTCTAAAATGGCTTTTAAGACGTTGGAATTAAAAAATGCAAAACATTGGTTATATTTCAAAATAAACCAAAAACGCATTTTATTTTCTGTGTGCTTTACGAAACGCTCGTTCTAAAGCTTGTTTATTAAAATATGACTGAACGTTTACAACACGAAGTGGAGTAAAACATTCAATTAACGAATTTCATTTGAGTAGTTCTTCTAATGAACTGGTTCATGAATAAGTGTAGTTTCAAATTAGATTTCGTTAAATAAATACACCAGCTATTAATCACATAGGAGATAAAAACTACATGAAAAAGAAAAGATGAAGATGAAATAGATTAATGTAGCTGTGCAAATAAAGACAAAGAAAGTATGAAAAGCACATTTTATTTCACCTTTCATAACAGTGCCATGAGAACATTTGTACAAGATACATCACAATCTAAAGTGCACAAATACTGTACAACAGAGGGATCTTAAATAAAAGGAAAAAAATCACATCAGGCTTCATAGAAAAATATGATTAAAAAGAATGAAGGGCATGCTTTAAAAAGAATCCAAAGTAAAAACCCCATTAAAATGAAGCATGTTTCACAAATGAGCAAAAAAAATGAACAAGCACAACCAGGAGCACGAAAGCTTTGGCACTTGCAGATTAAAAGATTAAAAACACAACATGGGCAGATCACTTCAAACAAAATAAAGAAAGAGATAGAGAGAGAGTCGACCCCAATAAGCAGTTCTTAAGGGCTTGTGTAGAAGGCGTAATAACCCATGGCTTTATGGCTCTCTTTATTGTACTCCTCAGAGCTCAAGTCCTCACACTTTATACTAGGTGAAGCGTCTGTACTGGAGCCTCCAGGCGAAACGCGTCGCCTTTTACACGCCATCAAGTATCCGCTGGTGTCCCCCGAATCTACAGCCTTCAGCACCGGCGGGACCTCCATCCAGGGGCCGGTGCTGCCAGTCGTGGGGGCCGCCGTGGAGCTCTCGTCCTGCAGCTTGTCTTTAGAGGACAGCAGGTCATCAGTGTATGCCGGAGGGCTCGGCCGGGGCGACCAAGGCAAGCCGGTGGTCATCTTCCTCGGATACGAACTTCTGCTGCTCCAGCCGGCCGCCATGGAAGCGAAGGCCGAGTCGGGGTAATAGCTGAGTGCATGCGGACTCTGCAGCGGAAGCGGCTTGATGCCATACGGCAGGAGGCTGGAGGCCGAGTACTCGCTCTCATAGGACAGGTCCAGTTTACCAGACACCCCGCTTTGCTGAACGGGCCCCACGAACCAGCGCTGAGCCGAAGCCGAGCCTGCAGCAGAGTCTTCGATCTGAGGAGAAAGCAGGCCGTTGGTCTGTGGCACAGCGCGCTCGCTGGCGTAGAAGCGGTGGTTTTGCGGCAGGTTGTTTACAAACTGGTCTTGGAAGAAGGGCTGCATTGCATAGCGGGCGCCGGGGACAATCTGGTGCGACCGCGGAGAATCAGTAGGAGAGGGCGTCAGTCTGTCGCTCTCTGGAGCCGTGTACATCCTGAGAGAGAAGCGGCAGAGAAAGACAGAAGCTGTTAGCAGTTCATCTTATCGCTCTAAAGTGACGCTTTCTGATCAGCTGCCTAAAATATGATGCCTGGGATAATCAATCGATGCACAGTGGGGGGAAAATAAATTGGTGCAGAAACAATTTGCACTCAGAAATTGCTATTAAATTTCACAATTAATTTCAAAGAAAAAGCAAGTAACACACTGAATTAAATGTGAAATTTTAAAGCAGAAAGAATGAAATAGTAATTTCTTGTAAAGCATACTTTGTTTTATTTTTGAAAAAATAAATACAATTTTTTTTTTTACAGGTGTAGCTAAAAATCTTCACTAAACAGAGGGGGAGATATATTATTAAAAATATAAAAATGCAATTTTATAGATATATAAACATTAAATTCATTAGTTAACACAAACTAGCAATGCAAAATATGTATAAAGCATTTATTTTCTTTTTTAATTATTAAACATTTAATAACATTACTGAAATTAAAAGTTATGATATTATTTAATGAACCTGAGCTAACATGAACAGTTGCATTTTTATTAATGCATTGCCTTTGTTAACTAATGGGACCTTGTTGTAAAGTGTTACCATATAAATATTGTAAATACAGTCCCAAATTATCCATGTTCACCCTTCATACTACGGAATTTTATAAACATTGCATTGTAGCATAAATGCATAGAAAACGAAACTGGAAAATGTTCAATATTGTATTATTTAAAAGAAAGGTTTTCAGACTCTAAAAGTAAAATCTGGAGCTGTGCTCATTTTTTTGCTTAGAACTTTTGTTTAAATAAAGGGACTGACAAAAGGAAGGCCCGTGTATTTTGAGAGGTTTCATAATTCGCTCATTGTCACTTTCTGTAGTATGAAATGCACTTACGAATCATAATTGTCTCTGAAGCCTTTTGCGAAGGGGTTGTGGTCGATCTTGAGCTGTGTGATCTGCAATTAAACACAAACACCAGGAGTTCAGAAGCAGAGCGAAATGCAGAAGTGGCTGCAGGGAGCTGCGGCTGGGTTACTGCTTACGTCTGTGTTCTGGTAAGCCGTTACAGCGATGAACTGGTTTTCAGGGAAAGTGAAGGTCTGTGTTTTAGCTTCGTTGCTCATGTCCTCCACACCATCCTCCGTCACCTCCACGATGTGCAGCCGCGGCTGGTACTTGTGCAGAGACTGCATGACGATCATCTATTTCAACACACACACAAACAGAGACAGATGGCATCAGTGTTTGTGCAGAGTTCATGGCCAGCGCTTGCAGTTAGACGAACAGAGGTGTCAAAGCCGCACACTAAAGACCTCTGAGATGACTGGAAGTTTCTTCACACACACACACACACACACATTTATCTTTATCTTTAAAATGCGCCAGATGCATCAGTTCTTTGAAACATGCACTAAAATATCACACAGTAAATAAGTAATATTTAAAGCTTGTTTTTTCATCTATTTTTGGTGTTGAAGACAGTATGATTTACACTCTCAGAATAAAAAAAAAAACATAACTTTCCAACATTGTCGGTTTGATCTTTTTTTTTTTTTGTGCAACAAAACAAGTCTAATAAACAAAAAAAATGAATGCATGCCTTTATCATATTTTCCATCAACAATTCCAAACTGATAAATAAAACACTGAATATTGCTCTACTAGAGTTTGAGTGTTATTTGTTTACCTGAGTATTGTTGTTATTTGCGCCCTTGTTGTTGGTTAGCTTCAGTTTTCCGAATGATATTTCTTGCCTCATCCAGTGTGCTCCAGTGTTTGGTGATTCTGGGTGAACATAAACCTTGTTTCCTACAGAAAAAAACCAAAAGAAGAATAATAATGTTTCGTGTGGTATTAATTTATTAGTTTGTCTAAACAGACAGAAAAAGCAGCAACAAAAAGCTTTTTTTTTTTTAAAAGCTCCTTCGTGAAAAACAGATGTATCGTGACTAAGAGCGATTTGTTTTGAATAATTCTAATGCATAGAGCCGAATAACACGTCCACCCCCGCGTGTTCTCGAGTGCCATCGCTGAGAATCGCTCATGTTAAATGTGAAACTTGTTTCAATGCAAAACACACTCATTTTTAAACGAAATGACATGTTAAACGCTGAAAAAAAAATGATTAAGGTAAAATAAAACAAACGCGCGCATACAGAAACATTTTTGGAAATCGTAACGTCATATTTTAGTTTTAAAATTCCTGGCAAATTATTTGAAGAAATTCGTTGATATTCATGCATTTCAATTAGGCCTATACCAGCGAAGATTTTATATATTTAACTTTGCAATTTAACAATTTAAAATTGCAGTTCCACTCAAAAGAAAAAAATCCTTAAAATAACCATTTATTTACTCGGTGTGAAGAACATTTTAATTATGTAAAGAACATTTTTTTTCATTTGAAAGAAATAGAGGTTCCCAAATGCAGTGTTTGTAATGATTCCATTTTTAAATATGAACTAAAATGCGCTTTTAACATACTATGTCTTAAAAAATGTATTTAGTCACCACTTGTAGTACGTACTAGTGTAGAAAGGATGGGTTTGAGTGTACTGCAAGCGATAATGGTCGGTTACCCGGAAAGGGTCACCCGCTCAGCGCGAGAGCTCTTTAATGAAAAACCCCACCGGGTGTCCTCATCAAACCCATCCGCTGACTCTCTTTAGCTCGTCATTGTAATTAAAATTCCTTGATGACAGCCACAGGCCGGATGACAAATTAAAGAGAGTCAGTTATAGCTACATTTAATGAGTCGCAAAAATAACACTATCATCCATTAACCTATTCACACTTTTTATTTGGCCCATTTGACCTCGTTCTATTTGCTTTCAGAGTGATACCATGATTTGACCTGCTGCTGCTCTCTCACACATTATTCCTTAAATCAACAACATCTGCAGCTTCAATCTTTAAATCCTGCTCAATTATTATCAATGTAATGAAAAACCAAAGTTGGATTCGGACTTGTCGTTTCAGCTCAGTCGGTGTGTCTAAATTATGAGATCAAATCCTGAAATCATCTCAACTGATAGTATGAGAAGGTGTGATGTAAAGACGATCCACACACAGCACCTGAGAAACACACACACACACACACACACACTCTCTCTCTCTCAGGCAGGAATGATTATGCGTTCTCACCTGACAGATCCCGGGTCCCAAGTGCCTTGTAGTTTTTAAGGTGTGAGATTCACAAGGATTAGCTCCCAGCTAAGAGGAATATTGAGACGAGAACGACTTCTCCGTGCAGAATACAGAATTCTGCGTTCTACAGAAGAAATGAGCTTTTAGACTGTCAGTCTTAAAAGTAAAGGTTGTTTATTGGCATCTACACGGTTCCACGAAGAACCTTCAGAAGCTTTCCATTCCACAAAAGGTTTTTTAGATGATTAAAATGTTCTTCACACTCAGGAAAACGAATGGCTCTGAAAGAACTGTTCACTGAAAGGTTCGTTGGGGAGCCAAAACCAAAAATGGTTCTTCTACACTCTTAAAAATAAAGGTTCTTTATTGGCATCAATGGTTCCAGTGAAGAACCCTTGAGATTTACATTTGACAATGTTCTTCATAGTGGAAAAAAGGTTGTTTGGATTATTAAAATGTTGTAGAGAAATGGTTCTTTTAATAACTGTTCACAGAGAGGTCCTTTGAGGAACCCAAAATGGTTCTTTTATGGCATGGCTGTGAGCCTTTATATTTAAAAGTGTATCTGCCATGCAATTAAAAGAGATCATGAAGAGTTAAATTAAGCTTTGGGACAGTTTCAAAAATAAAGATTCTTTATTGATGTCTATATGGTTCCATGAAGAATCTTTAACATCCATGGAACCGTTTCCAATCCACAAAAGATTCTTTATAGTGGAAAAGGTTCTTTAGATGATAAAATCACTCTAAAATATAAAGGTTCCAAAAGGTAGCAGTGCCCAGCAGTGCCATAAAAGAACCATTTTTGGAACCTTTCAGTGGACAGTTCTTAAAAGAACCATTTGTGTGAAGAACATTTTAATTATGTAAAGAACCTTTTGTGGAATGGAAAGTTTCCATGGATGTCAAAGGTTCTTCAGAAGCCAATAAAGAACCATTATTTTGAATAAAATGGTTCTTCTATTGCAATACTGTGAAGCTTTATTGTTAAGTCTATGAGTTGCTTTAGTTTATTGCTTTGTATATTTATGCCAAAATATGTGTGCGCATTATCCGTGTGCAGATGTGTGTTATGAGCAGGGAATATGTGTGTATATGTGTTTGCATGTGTGCAATCTAGAGATGTGTGAAGAATTTGGGGAAAAGGGGCTAAAAATCTGTGAAAAGACAGAGAGGGGGGCTGGAACTCAGCTGGAAACTGATTGGCTGCCAGCCTGAGGAGGAAATAAGAATCTGCTGTCCTCTCCGGTCTGGGACCTCGGTGACCGGGCGCAAGATGTCTGCCACGGCCCCCAAGGGCCCCGCGGCGTCCCCTCAACACTCCTCTGCCAGCGTCTTTCTCATTTTATTATTGACTCAAAATGCCACCCAGTCTTTATTTCCCTCGCTCGCTCTCTCTCTCTCGCTCTCTCCGTCCTGAGCGCACAGGAGTGAGTCGGGCAAAAGGCTGCGGTTGAATCAGGGTCACTCAAAATCAATACTGTGCTTTTAGATGGGACAGATGCATAAGGGACGGTAATAGTCTTAAATGTTCTTTTGTAACTCTCAGAGGCTTTGAGAAGGGAGACGGTGGAGTTTGGATTCTGAAAAATCACGACTCTTTTTACATTTTCCAATGCAGAGTATTTTCATTGTGGTTCACAGAGCTGAAGATCTGGGTCAGTCACAGCGATTTCACTCAGATACATGTGAACTAGTATAGTATGAGTATATATATATATATATATATATATATATATATATGAGTATATACTAGTATGAGTATAATGCACATTTCTAGGCCCTACATTCTACATGAAAAATGAACAATATATTGTAAATCTTGTTTTTATAGGTGCCGTATAGATCAAGCTTATTGTTAGTGGCATTAACACGTTTTTGTGTGAGCATCGAAGTAAACTTCACTATTTGTGCTAATAGCATGCCTATATTTTTTGTGTGTGCAAATTTAATATGCATGCCCTTGCAAAAAAAAGAAGCAATTTACAGCATGTAATTGACTATTTAATTAAAATTTAATTTAATGTAGTTTATTGGCATGATAATGCGTGTTTACATACAGTATTCCCAAAGTATTATACACAAAACAAGTAGGCCTAATGAAGCTTTTAATATAGGCTAACAATAACAATAAAATAAGTGCTAAGTAAATAAGTGCTAAGTAAGAATTAACAAGCTAAGTGTAAATATTATATAGGCTATGATTTAAAAAATATATATACATAAGTTTCTTCATAACGTGTATCATAACGTGCCTATTTTTTGAGTAGAGCTGAAGTAGTAATTTTCTAAGTGATTAAAATTACGATTTTACTTGGTAGACAATAAAAAGGCGAAAAAGCTTGCAAATGCATATTATTTTAAATCGCAAATTAAATGAATAATATTCAAAAAAAGAAGAGCGTTATTATTTGCAATTAAAGTGACGAGGTCTACACTCTAGCGCGCTCCCCTTTGACCTGTGACGTCACGTCACTCAACTAATTGTTCTCGGCGTGTATTATACCGTGGCTCCCTGGTCATTAGTTCCATTCATTAGCGCTGCTATATTTCACGGTTGGCTGCACAAAACTCTAAAATGAACTATAAAAGTGCAGCTCTTTTAGTCGTGAAGATTATGGAAGTTTTTCACCGTATATAGTAGGGGAATTTACTGTTAACCATTTAACAGGTTTTTACTGTAGCATTTTTACGGTCTTTTACTGTTAAATTCACAGTCATTTTTTACACTGCAGAGACAGGCTGTAGCACACATAAAATGCAACCTTATTTAGACAGAGTATGATTTATATTAACATTTAGCTTTATTTTAACTAACAAAATTGTTTGTAATATTTGTAGTTTTAGTTGAAGTTAATAATAACCTTGACTGGCACTGAGACTCGATTAAATATCGATTACTGCATATACACTGATTATATATGACTTTTGAGCGGAGTTTGAGACGTTGTTGAGATCTCCTCTGTAACTCTAGAGGAGAAACATCTGACATGCTGGAGACGTTCTCACTCCATGATTAAAAGATTTAGTTTCAACTGTGTCATATAGATACTTTTTATTTTATTTATTTTTTTTATTTTATTTTAAAGAATTAAACACTATAGTATAAATATAAAATATTATATAAAATATATATTATATACATTTTTTATGCCACTTTGGAAAACTTAAAGAGCATATAAAAACTGTAATAATTAATTGTATCTGAGGATAAAATGGTTGTTTTGCATTTTTAACTGTAATTTGCATGAACATATTTGAACTACACACATATATATATATATATATATATACACTGTATATGTGTGTGTGTGTGTGTCTAGTTGCCAAAGCAACATTTTTTAAAAAGAACTAAAACTGAGGTTGAATAAAAAAGAAATAAACATATAAAAAAACTCATAAAAATGATAGAACACAACAAAATTACTAAAACTTTATCTAAAATTTAAATGGAAACAGAAAATATAAAAATTAAAACCAATGTATACTATTAAATAACTATAATAGTATCAGTGATACTAAAAAAAAAAACTGTAATCTGAAAAATGTCAAGTTGAGCACATTGCATTGTGGGATACAGTATTCAGTGAATGCAGTAGTTTCTGTGATGCATCAAAACATTTGCATACTGTGCATACTAAATACTGCAGAAACAGTAACAGTAGATGCTATTCTGAAATCAATCTTTGTGATTGAGTCTGTGTGAGTGTGTTTTGAGAGTAACATGTTAACTGGCTGGGATTTTTCACCGGTATCCTGTCGGTGTGTGTGTGTTTGTGTGTGTGTATGCACTTTGGAGAGTCATGAGGTGACTCCCGCGTGAGGTCCGGCGGCGGCCCGCGAGTGCTGTTACTCAGGAACAAGCAGGGCTTTTATCACATCTCCAGCTCTGACTCAGAAACTGCATTTCGCCGCTCTCTCTCTTTCTTCGGGACGGCGAGCGGACGCAATTCTCCGCAGCAGTTCAGCACAGGAGCAGCCGTGCATGGGCGCATCTCTGTGAGTCAGAGGTTTTTACACCTTTCGCTACGAAACACACACACACATATCTGTCTCTCAGCCTACTCAGGCATATGCTGCTTATGTCGACATGTTTATTGCTTTAAAACTGACCCCACAGAGAGAGGGAGACACGTGCGGGGAATCCCAGGCCCCTGTCTGTCTGTCTGTCCCTCAGTCTCTGGAGACATGAAACCAGTGCTCTTGTCTCTCAATGCTGCTGTCAGTTCAACTGATTGAGGCTAGGATCTTAATGTAGGATGAATGCAAGTAGTGAGATAATTTTATGTTTAATATTAGTGTATTGTGTGTGTTCTCTTTAGTGGCTTAAACTGGTATTATCATTATTATTATTATTTTTACCTTTAGTGTGATAAATTTAACAATGGCAGTAGACAAGACAAAGTACAGAAAAATGAACAAACAACAACAACAACAAAAAAGGAATGTACCGAAACCTCCCCCAGATATACTGTATGTATAAACAGGGAATGTGTAGTGTAAACATTTTCCACAGCCTTCCAATAGCCTATATGATAGGGAGAGTAATAATGATAATAATAATAATAATATACAGTTGTGTATACAATGTATTTGGATATAGTGTAGGCACATTTCTTGTAACACTGATGATTAGAGAGTGACAAATTATAGAAGGTGAGGTATTATTGGTAATAAAATGTAGAAGACAGAGAAGAAGCCAGAGGAAAAAGTAGACATTTAATGTGATATTTATTTTTCTCTCTTTATCTTCCTTTTTTTTCTTTTAAACTGGTATTATGTGAAGAGACGAGCCATTTGGATAATATTTGTGACCCTGGAGCACAAAAGCAGTCATAAGGGTCCATTTTTCGAAATTGAGATTTATACATAATCTGAAAGCTGAATAAATAAGCTTTCATTGATGTATGATTTGTTAGGACAATATTTGGACAATAGGCTATTTGGCTGAGATACAACTATTTGAAAATCTGGAATCTGAGGGTGCAAAAAAATCTAAATATTGAGAAAATCACCTTTAAAGTTGTCCAAATAAAGTTCTTAGCAATGCATATTACTGATCAAAAATTTACTTTTGATATATTTACAGTATGAAATTTACAAAATATCTTCATGGAACATAATCTTTACTTAATATCATAATGATTTTTGGCATAAAAGAAAAAT